ATAGCGGGTGGGTCACCTGCTTCCGACTCCAAGGGCAAGGGATCAGTTTGAACGGCTTCGTCCTTGGATTCCACCACCGGCACAGGTCCTTTTTCTTCTGCCGATTCCACAGGCGTTTCCTCGATTGTTGGATCTTCAATAGATGGTTCTTCGAAAGATAACTCTTCGAGTGGCTGCTCTTCTGTAGTGGCCCCTTCAACCTGACCAGCTTCCTCCAGCTTCTTACGTTCTTCCTCTTGCTTCTTCAACTCCTCTTGTTTCAGACGTTCTTCCTCCTGTTTCTTGAGCTCCTCTTCCGTTGGAGTGGGAGTTGAAAAATCGGTGGAGTGAGTATATCTGAAAGATATCGATCGCTTCTTCAGGTCAAAGAGATACTCCTCCCGGGATCTGGGACTCATGTTGTCAGTGCGACACAACCGGCATCTCCTGATCAGCTTCATTTGATGGTCCCTTTCCTTCAGCTTCGCTATTATAACGTCATACTGTTCTTTGTAGAAGTCATGATCCGATACCATCCTGAACAGTTGATCCTTTGTCATCTCCAGCTCATTTCTAAGACGTTTGGTTTCTTCTTCGGTGGCCTTAAGCTTCGGTTCAGCCCGCACAAGCACCTGAAGAACAAATCAAACCTCACTCACGCTTTCTCAAAACAAATGAGATGATACCTGGTTAAAGATGCGAAGAAGCTGTCTCCACACATGCAACAGGAGATTTCCTCGTTCTTCGCAATGAATATCAACCTGTCGATGTAACCTGAAGGGCATCACTTAACAAGAGAAGCTCTAGAACAGAACAAAAAAAATAAACAGGTAAGTTTTTTCACCTGACGAACAATCTCTAAGAAAGCAATCGAGTGAAGAACAAAGGCCGCTTCAACATTTTCGAACCGTCCATCAACTTTCTCACAACGATTCTTGCGCATCGCATGCTGCAGCCACTCTCCAAGCAGCTGAACATCCTCTCTTTTACCTGGCTGCACTTCAAAAACATTAAAAAAAGAGTCGAAAAAAAATATAATAAGTAAAAGTACCTGAAGAGCAGGAAAAACAACTGTATACCATCGTTTATCATACGGACTATATGCGAACTTGCACTCAGGTTTGCCTAAGAGTTCTGGCTGCCACATACATCAAATCGTTATTGCAGATTACAAAAAAATCCTGCTTATTGACAATGCGTACCTGGACAACGTACTTGTTGACAACATAGTCCTCCATGGGAATAAACGAAGGAAGAGTCTGCTTCTCATCTGGTGGTACTGCATCTTTCACTTGACCGGAGTTTTCACAGGAAGGCATTGGACAAGGAGTTTCAGGTTGTAATCTGGAAGCAGCATTCGACTCAGGATGAAGGTTTTCTGCTTTGTTGCTCAGATCATCCGGACTCGAGGCTTTAGATTGCAGCTTGACAGTGTTCTCGTCCGCATTCTTGAGTGGCTCAGCAGACTGGAACTTCTCTGGATTTGTGCATTCGATAAATCGGACAATCAGCTCCCTTACTTTCTCTAGCAACGCCCGGTCCTTGACAAGAAAATCTGCTTGCGGGGGAACTCTGTTCACTCTAGCTTCCATGGCTTCCCATTCACTCTTCACCTCACGTACATGCTCAGCTGCGAGTTGAGGATTTGATTCCATCTGCCAGAAACATTCATGCCTTCAGACGAGAAAAAGAAATCAAAAAACACAAGTACCTGCGCAAACATTTCGCGGATTTCATCGTCTTTCAGCCCAATCGCCTGAAGCAGCCACTGTTTAGCACTGATCGGAACAGTCACAGACGCCACAGTCCCTGCCTTGTTCTTTTTGGTGTTCTTCTTCTTAGTATCAAAAACACAGTCTGGAGGTCGTAAGTGAGGAACAGCTCGTTCACCACCCCTCGATGCCCCTGCAAGCTTGGTGAGATAATCCGGAACTTTCATAAGCAAGCCTTTCTTGCAGAATGTATCACTGATCGGAGCTGCTTCCTCCTCCCCTGTTCTTCCCCGTCTAAGATCATCACCAGGAACTCTGGGAGTTCTGACCGCAGCACAAGCCTGTAGCCTGTCATTCACAATCTCTGCAATGTCCGCCGCTTTCGAATCTCCACAACAATGCACCTTCCTAAACCCTTTCCTGTCTTCCTGCGTGTGATCCTTCCGTTGAAAACCAGTGAAGTCGTACAAATTGGGAGACGCTCTGTGCGACGAAACCCTACTCACATCGGTCACCGTCGTAGCTCCTCCCCGCGTACTGAGCTTGTACACATCCTGGGAGGAAGATCTAGAGGATGCTTCACTCACCTCAGCAGCTCGCCTGGAAGGAGAAGGCGATCGATTGGCCAGCCTAGCTTCCTCGCTACAGCGCTTGAGCTTTGGTCCGCGGTTTGATGATGACTGATTGCCGCCCTTGTGCGCGGGAACCTGTCCAGCAGCATTTTAGGGTTTAAGGGGATACAATGCCCTAACGAACTACACCCCCTTGTCGGCTGAAGACCTCAAAAACCGTTATCAACGGTCATATGGTGATTTAATAGTATTAAAAACAGAAAAAGGAAAAGAAAAAAAGATCAGCTGACTGAGTGTTGAATTTTGCGGGGATGTCTGAGCTTCCCACCATGAATGATCCTTGTTTTGCATGTCCGGAACCTTGGCTGGGCAACTTTGAAATCCTCAAATCGCGTTTTGCAGCCACAGAATTATATGATATGATTGCGAGGATCCGCTACTGTTGCTGCCGCTAATTCACTCGAAACAGCAGCAGATGGATCGCTGTCAATGTTCGACCCTTATCCTTGACGATCAACAACGCTGTTGGCCATCCTCGAAGACAACTGTTCAGTCGTCTTCAAAGCCCCACTGGATTCATCATCGCCCGCTGCTCTTCGCCTAGATTCTTATTCATCTGATCTTGGGTTCCCTCAAAGTGATCGCCTCTTACTTCCACCACAATTCCTGCCGATGCATGGGTTTCACCGTTTCAGCCTCTTGAACCTGGGTGGGCTGATCGTCGAGGTCGAATGATCCCGATCCCATGGCCTATACCACACCGTGGAAGATTGAAGTGCTCAAAACCCGGCTTTGATTCAAACACGCCGCTCGTTTCTTGGATTCCATATAGCTTTTAAAAGACGGAAACCATTTCTCCTCCCTCACTATCATAGTTGCACCTTGTCTGCAGACGGCTGCGGACGCGGACATCGCAAACGCGTCCGCAGACGTCCGCAAAATGCCGCGGACGAGTTTGCGTGTTTTACCCTATTTTTAATTTTTTTTATTTTTTTAAAAATTTCCGAAAAAACATTCTGAGACAATAAAAAAAACACAGGAACAGAACACATTAAAACATTAATAAAATGTTGTCAAACTCCTCATGTTCTCAAAAACCTCCTTGTCTTCCTCGTTGTCCTCAATTTCTTCTTCCATTTCTTCATTGGCATCCATGGGTTCTTCATCATCCACAGTGTTAGAAGAGAACGGCCTCATTGCTTCTAACTCCTTCAACCTCTTGGCTGCTCCTTGAAATGTACCAGAACAATACTTACATTGCCATTTTTTGATCCTAGTGGTTGGGTCAATGCCAATCACTACCACATGCTCCCACTCTGCATCGGCCATCTCTACAATACCCACTCCAACACCCACCTGATCTCTGTTGTCAAACGAGGAATAGGGTTACAGAGGGTTTTTTTTTAATTTTTTTAATCCGTGAACGGGCAGACGCGTCTGCGGACGCGTTTCGCGGACGCGTCCGCAGACATCCGCAAAACAGCGTGGACGAGTCTGCGTGCAACTATGCTCACTATGATTCCCGACCATCGCCCGACTGAGCAACAAGAGGAACCATGATCAAGTACTGATCACAAACAAAACCTAGCTTTCCAGAAAATGCATACCGGTTATATATACTCTGGGAAGACGGATAAGTCAGAAGCAAGGAACGCGCTCCCTTCGCAGCTACAAGAAAGGAAAAACCTAGGGAAAAGGAGCAAAATCACTACAACGTATACATTGCAAGGGATGAAACTGCAGATAGCGATGATCACTTCTTGCTTGTCTGTGGCTTCTCTCCGAGTTCGTTGAATGAAATTTAGTTAATAAAACGTAAATTAAGTCAAATGATAGGGTTTTAAGTTATTTGTAAGGGTCGTACATGCCACGTGTTGTATGTACACGTGGCATTTTTACATGTGGCTGGCCGGGATCTGAATGCTAAGGTTTGAGTAGAGGTCTTCAAGCTTTCCTAATTTATTTTGTTATACAATTTGTTTATTGAATTGAGTTAATGAAGTTGAAGCTGACGTCAGTGTTAGTCTAATTAATAACCATTACGAAGCTAGTTAATTCATCTTGATTCTTGAAAAGTGAGTGTTTAAATAACGAGCACAATTGACTTTTGATTTGCAATGCTACTAAAATGATTAACAAGCCATTTCCAGTGTGGTGGATGCACTCCCCATTCTTGCTCGCAACATGGAAAGCCCGAGCAACATCGTTCTGATTCTTGCAAGCAGCTAACAAATTTCCAAGTTACGCCCCATCAACTCTTAAGCTTGAAACATGATGTTCCAAGACACTGCGTCACAATCTGGCACTTCTGAAACACTAGAAACAATGTGTGACCGATCTCATCGCTGTAAGAAAACACCATAAGAGCACCGTTCCACGAACGATCATCCCACTTAAGCATGCGGTCGAAAGTAAAGATTTGCGTTCTGCAGATTCCGATTCGATACTGCAAGACTTCGTACCGGCACCATCTTAAACAAAATCGTTGCTTCAACCCTTCGGTTCTTGCAAACTGCCTGCAAGATCTTGTTCCAACCAACATCATCCTCTCTTTTACTTGGCTGCACTTAAAAAACATATATAAAAAGAGTCGAATATATATATATATATATATAACCACCAACAGTAAGGTGGTATCGACCACTTAAAATAAAAATCAATCAGCGTCGAAGCACACTAAAGCCACTTCTACCGAGTCGCAGGCAAGTTTGTGGGCATTATCACGCAGATATAGGGAGGCAGCACAAACGAATCTTTCGCTTGCTCGTATCAGTTTTACAAGGACCTGATCACAAGAAGCAGATGAAGAAGATGTCACATTGTCTGAGCTTTTATCACAGATTAAGATTCACAGACTTCAGCTCTTTCAGCAAGCCATCGTTGATCACACCTTGCCCATGAGCGCGAGAAGGGCAGGCAGCTCCTGAAGCCTGTAAAGAACCTGTCGCATGGTAGGCCTTGAAGAGGGATCCTCACTCAAACATTCGTCCTGCAACTGTAGCAACCCACCATCACATCGCACCTTGCTGGTTGCAATCAGATGGCCAATACTCCACACATCTACTGGATAGCCATGTTCCCCAGTTCTCATCTCAGGTGCATGCGCATCTTCACAAAGCAAATGCGGCTCCATGCATGGAACCATAGCAGCTTCATCGAAGTCGATCAGATACCAGTCACCGCCAAACTTGCCAATATTTCTCCAGTGGACATCCCTATGAACCCAGCCCCGATTGTGAAGCTCGTTCAGCGTTTTTGCTACTTGAACAAGAGCCGGCAACAAATTGTTCAGTGGCCTGGCTCTCTGACGAAACGTCACCCGGGGTACGAAAGTTAAACTGTAGTCCAAACTCCTGTTTCGCTTCCGAGCCTGAATGATTCTCTGGGTTGTACAGATCTCAACTCGAGGAACATCCTTGATAGCCTCGTAGATGTTGAAGACTGTACAATACGTATCATAATCCTTATACGTCTTGACGACATTCTTCGCCTGAAGCTGCACGGTTTTGTCTCCGGATGTTGTTGCTGGTAAATAATCTGCCTCGACGTCGTACTCAATGCAGAGCCTGCTTAAAACGGGGAACAACCTGGCTATGTTGAAGAGGACGACGAGAAGCCGGATACGATCGCGTAGTTGAAACAGGTCAAGGGTTACCAGCTGTTTAGTCAAGACCTCCCGCGTCGACGGGTCCCTTGAATGAAGTGCCACAAACGTAACGCTACCACCAATTGCTGAATAAGCCAACAGGTAGGGAACGCCTCCGTACCTCCACTCTGTCTTGTCCCTGAGCTCTTGAAGTGGTATGGCAGCAGAAATACCAGGCCTCTTCTCTTCGGCCCGTCCCACTGGGATGTTGCCAACAAACATCAATCGGTCCGGTCGCTTGGCGGATGTGTTGGAATCCAAGTTGGTGTCCCGATCCGTAAGCACAGACCTGAGGCAGAAAAGATCAAGGATGAGGGACTCCCAAAAGTAATCACAGACCTGACGCAGAAAAGACCAATGATGTCGGAAATGAGGGACTCCCAGAAGTGTATGTAGGAGGCCTCCGTGTGTCCAGTCGGGGGAAGCATAAGGAATGGCCGCAGGAATAAACTGAGTAAAGTGCAGGAAAGTCCATCGTGCTCCCGTTCAAAAAGACGAATCTCAGAATTCACACTTCTGAACGCCTCGAAGAAAATGTCGGCTATGGGAAAAACGAGGCCGTCTGGCTTTGTAACCACCCACTCCTCCAACTGATGTAGTGGAGGTAATTCCTTGAGCTGGTAGTGCTGGATTATGCTGTAAGTAGGATCTTCAGACTCCATTCCTGAAAAAAGAACAAGATCAGAACTCAAACGGCAAAACGACAAGTATCTAAGGTCGACGGATCAAACACAGCACATCGGACGCCTACAAAATGCAACGCTTACCGGATCTAACATGTGCTACAACCGGAGGAGGTGCTGCAGGCACTGCAAACAGATTTGTCAGCAATATGATAACTCAAATAAAAGCAGATCAACGGAGCAGGAGAATGAAAGAATACCTGAGGCAGTGCGAATGCATTTCAGATAGAAGGTGTCACCGGCTAAGCACAAGCCACTCAGCAGCTCGGGCTCCAGTTGCATCCAGCCCGCTTCCGGATCAAGGGCGTCCACTCGACCAACATTGCGTATCTTCTTCAAGGCATCAAGAAGAGTCGTGCCGGGCCTTACAACCACGGACCTGCAAGAAGGGTGCTGCTTCACTGCATCCGCATCTGGCGCCACAAATTCATCCTCCTCAACCACGCAGAAATGGAGGAAGCACTCCAACCCAGCCCCCCTTCTCAACCTCTCCATCGCAAAGAAAAAACCCTAAGGGGCTAGGCTAGCATATTCCAACCTTGTAGGATTGTAGGATATTCTAATCCAGCGGTTCAACCAGAGAATATTATTATGTAAGTGCAATTTCAGAAAAATAATAATAATTTATAAACATTCTATTGGTAATTAACAGCCTAAATCATCAAAATTGAATAATCAAGTCCACCTCCAAAAATAAAAGAACAATGCCACCCCAGATCACCGAGATTTAAATTCACAATATGTTGTTCTTCATACTAAAAACACCGACTCGATGACTGTCACCATCTCCAAGATCAGCATTGTATTCTCCGACTCGGTCTGCAGAATCATTAGAACTATTGTCACGAGGATTTCTCTTGCACCTGAGTTTGCTCCGGCATCAACTGAATTCCCAACAGACTCCCTGAATTCCCAACACATCAACAGACTCTTAATACGTCAATAAATGTCTTCCAGGCCATATCGGCATGCCAGCTAACAGACTCCCGACAGCCTGGAAGGCATTTGCTGATGTGTTAGGCTGGTATTAATCCTGATTAAGACCGGTCTCTTCATAAGATTATAATGTTTAGGTTGGACTTATTATGAATTTAGGGAACTCAAAATAAACTAAAGATTTATAGGATTTTTGATGCTAAACTTAGTTAACCCTATCGCATCGTATGTGAACTTGCACAATTGCACTTTGGTTTGCCTAAGAGTTACGGCACATACATCAAATTGTTACTGCAGCTCATTGACAATGCGTACTTGGACAAAGTCCTCCATGGGAATAAACACTCTCTCATCTGGTGTTGCTGCATCTTTCACTTGACTGCAGAAATTTCCTTGGACAAGGAGCTTCAGGTTGTAATCTCGAAGCAGCACTATTTGACTCGGGATTAACGCATTCTGCTCTGTTGCTCAGATCATCCGAACTCGAGGGATAGTGTTCTCGTCCGCATTCTTGAGTGGCTCAGCACTGAGGATTTGATTCCATATTCACGCCTTCAGATGAGAAAAAAAAAATTTAAAAACATGCGCAAACTTTTTGCGGATTTCATCGTCTTTTAGCCGGATCGCCTGAAGCAGCCACTGTCTAGCACTGATCGGAACAGTCACCGACGCCAGTCCCTGCCTTGGTGTTCTTAGTATCAAAAACATTATCTGGAGGTCGTAAGTGAGGGAACAGCTCGTTCATCACCCCTCCGTCATTGTTTGGGCTTTGAGAACTTTTGGTTTGACTGCAAACTTTGCCCCAAATGCAACATGTGAGGCCCTAAACAGCAAAAGATTTTTGACGAATGATTTTTATTCAACAATTGTGTTTGAAAACAGCCAGCTCCATTCTGCAAGGATTTCAATGCAGGGATGTGATATATCATTTTGGGTCAACAAGAAGTTGGTCTATTAGAAGTAGTGTTCAAATTGTAATTTGAGATTGAAAGCAATTTCTAAGAAACGTGAGTAACTTTACTTCTCGAGGTATAAAATGATATCTGCAGACTCACAACAAATATCAAGCAAGCAAGGTAATTTGCTATGCACTCTACATATATAGCTTCTGATTCATTGAATAACATTTTAATTCAACAGGTTCAATATGGCAGGAGCCTCATGCTGCTACTGTGTTTTCTGGTCTTTCAATTCTCAACCAAGGTGGATGCCTCCAGCGCTTTTCTTCAATACCGAGGTGGTAATTGTGCAACCTGATTAGCGGCATCGGTACCTCTTGTGTCAACCTTCTTGCTGGTTACACGGATGGATATCGTGTTGAATATGATGGCAGTCTGGTACTCAGGCTTTACGACTTACCAAATTGCCAAGGGACTCCAGCCCCTGTCAATCCAGCCCCCGTTTACGTTATCCACCAAGCCCCTCCCCCGCAGGCTGCGCCATCACCGGATTACTACTCACCCCTCCCCCATGATTCCGGAAGTCATCCCAGATATCATGACCGCCACTCACCACGAGACAGGAGAGAGTACCGCGACCGGGATATCGACTATCGTGGGTCTGCCCAGAACCGGTATGATCAGCAGGGGCCACGCAGACCTTCCTCGCCAGATCGTGGGCGTACCTCACGCGGTCGTGACCACTTCCGAACAAACCGTCGGAAACGAGAGCACATGCATCAATCTCACTCCCCTGCTCGACGAACAGGGAAGCGAGGGCATACCAAGGGCACCAAGAAGGCCCAGGGTCCACAGCGGGCAGTGAAGACGGCAGAGCTCACACAGGAGAAACCTGTTACCAAGGCCGTGGAGACTCCGCAGGCTACAGAGCTGCCGCCCAAGACAACAGGGGAGAATATCAAGCCAAGTACTGCCCAGGAGCTGCCCGTGAAAGAGTCACGACCCCAATATGGCCACCTTGATGCCCGATCCGACCACAAGATCCACACACTCCTCCTTGCGCTCGATGATCCGATCCTAGACAAACAAGACGTCATCCGGTGGTTCACAGAACATCTTCATACCACCTACGGCTGCGTCCACTTCCAAGTCCAACCGGGCCCCCGTCGTCATCTCTTTACCGTCAACTTCCTCAAATTCCGGGAGATGCGACGCGTCCTAGGCGAGGGCGTGTTCTCATACCAAGGGAGCTACGCATATGTCCAGCAATGGGAACCGGAGTCAGGACCTCTGGGACGCTGCTTTCCGCTACATATCCGCCTTGACCCCGGACAACCTACACCAGGGACAGACCTGCTCCGTTTCTTTGCACCCCTTGGTGAGCTAGTGGACTTCAATAAGGAGGAAGACCGATTTACAGTAGAGATCTCAATCGCCACTGCGCTCCCGACCCATCTGCATGATCCACAAGGTCACAAAGTCCGCCTCCACTACCTCAACATCCCAACCACCTGGGGAGACCTCACGCCTGATTTTGTATCTGGCTGGCGCTTCTTGGGCCATGACAGCACCCGACAACCCCCCGGCTTGCATCGACAAAGTGAGCATGCGACCATCCCCATGGACAACAAGGAAAATACCCACCCCCAGCAGGCTGAACTCGCCCAGTACCTCCAGACCTGCTTCAAACAGTGGACAAAAGATGAAGCTAGCAGACGCCGGAGAAAACATCAAAGCCATGCTAAGGAGGCCTCTCTGCAAGGTAGGGACAGAGACGACCCAGACTACCCGTCTACGGAAGACTCAAGCAAGGACAGTGACCCTGAGCTGAGCCAACTGCCGCACACAACCCGCCTTGCTGAGTCTCCCCCTGCCATGGCACCTCCCAAATCATTGGCCCCAAGTCGGTATGACGCCCTGCGCCTAAACCTGGACTTCCTCAACAAAGGCATGGCCGCAGACAATCCGCAGAAGCCTCACAACACCCCACGTACCACTTACCGACACCCATGGGGCGAGGCATTCGGATCGCAGCACACACAATCACTGCAGATTGTCCTCCCCAACAGAGACTTCCCGCCCTCAGCGAACGAAGACTAAGTTGACCGGCCCCTAAACGGATTTTGCAAGGCAAACCGTTAATATATTAAGGATAATGCTAGACTTAACAGCCGGCTTTTAACTGTTGGTAATTAGCTATCCACAGGAATATACCGCTGATATAGATCACAAAGATGACTAACGTACTAAACTCAGGATTATGCAGTATGAGCGACTTGCTGAACCCACCCTAATCGAAGAATGCAAGGTAGGCAAACCTAAGCTGCTGGGATCACCAGCCCCATGCGCCCCCCCAGGCCATTAGCTCGTGACCGACTCCGCATTCTCTTCTGGAATATCTGCGGATACCCCTGGAATGATGGAATTGGGCTCTCCGAGTTCGGCACCTGCGATGCGCTTTGCCTCGTCGAGACAAAGGAACACCAAAGGGCCAGACTACCTGAATTCCCAGCCTTTCAGCTTCACTCCTGCTGGAACTGGATTGCAGAACACCACTCCTTCGGCAAAGGAGGGATCGCCATCTATGTTAAGCGTGAGATTGCCCAGAATGTCACACTAGAAAAAGTGGGAGAACACAACCATTGGCTGGCTATCAGGTTTCGCAGTCCCCGACAACGTGACCTCCTGCTTGTAGTGGCCTACTTCCCGCCAACCATCGTACGCCAAAAGGAGCAGCCCTTTGACTCCATCGGCGAAGAAATCCAACGATGGAGTCAAAATGCAGTAGTTCTCATCGTTGGAGACTTCAACTCTCGCATCGGACGAAGGCAATCAGAGAGTTTGCCCCAGGAAACGATGGATGAAGTCATCCCCCGCTCGCTATGCTGGCTCCGAGACCGGGCACGAGACACGTTCCAACCGGATACAGGACCGGGCTTCCTGGACTTTGCATCTGCAGCAGATCTCATAGTGTTGAACGGCACCAAAAGATTCCCACATAGCTCAGCACACACCTATGAGTCCTGGATGCTAACAGACGATGACCCGGACAGACCAGACCGGGGCAAGACTATCATCGACTACGTGCTTGTCCCGGCCAAAAACACACAGGTAGTCCGTGAGCTGCTCTTCCACGACTTCAACCCAAAGTCCGACCACCGGCCCATCGAAGTGGTAGTCAACTTCGTTACCTTGACGCGCTCACTAAACTCCCTTGCCGAGGTCGGCCCTCTTTCTTACTCGATGAGTCAGCCCCTCCTTCTCCGCTTCCAAACGGATCTCCAGACACGTTGGGAGGATGAATCCTGTCATATACCGCTAGAACACCACGCTGCCCTGCTGCTGAAACTAATCAAGGAGGAAGCGCTAAAGATCTTCAAACACCGTCGACCAAGAACAGCCATGCGGTTGCCTGTCGCTGCAGGGTGGTGGGATCATGAGTGTCAACGCCTTAGACGCCGATACATGCACGCACACAAACGTGGAGGCAATACCTAGTCCGATGGCAGAGGCAATACCTAGTCCGATGGCAGAGGCAATTTTAGGTGACGCTGATACTAGCCAGGCTGTTGCTAGCCAAGAGATAGCAAGCACAATTCTCAATCAGAATCTTCAGATTATGCTTGCTCAGTTGCTTCAGCTTGCCCCTTACTTAGGCGATAAGCTTCAGCATCTGATTACTCAGGCAGCAACTCCAGAGCCTAAGAGCGCAGCTCCCGAACCTGAACGTAAGGTTCCAGAGCCTAAAAGCGTAGTTCCAGAGCCTAAAAGCGCAGCTCCAGAGCCTCTTATCCGACCTGAGGATATCATTCATGTGGAACCCAGCATTGATGTCTTTCATGCTGAGGCTCAACCAGGCGACTGTGACAACAATGTTCCATGTATTGATCTATACATTGGACGCCACCCCATCAAAGGTGTTATGCTTGATGGTGGCTCGGGCGTGAACATCATGGAAGAGCGAACAGCCAATATGCTTGGCTTAGGCCCACTAGAACCTGCCCCATTCAATGTTCGAATGGCAGATCATCGTTCAGTGAGACCTCAAGGCATCATCCGCAATGTTGTTACCAATATCAAAGGAGTTAAAATTCCGGTCAATTACATCATTCTTAGGCTGTGTCAGGAACTAGGGTTCCTGCCCCTAATTAAATACGCAAGTCCTAAACTCAGATTAATTATATTCTCGAGCATATTGGGATCTGGTATATTTCAAGGTATATTCAAGACCTTATATTTGGATTATCATCTTCACCGTTCATCTTCTACGGTTGGATCTCAAGACCCATTTATAGAACACTCCAAGTTTGGCTCTATAAACTAGTATATAAGAATAGGTCTTGTACTTTGTTTCCTTGAATTCAATCAACACCAGTTACGGCTGCTAGCTTTTGTTCCCCTTTCTTGCTAGAGTCATGACAGGCTGCCCAAACAGCCTGATGCTTACCCGGTACTCCTTGGTCGTCCCTGGCTACGACGAACAGGCACACTACAGGATTGGCCTAGAGACCGAGTTATCCTTGAAAGACCTGATGGTCCAGTCAATGTCTCTACCAAAGCCTGCAAGCCTGTCTCGCCTGGGAATCGCCCCATCGATCTTGAGGAATTATATGATTGGAAAGATGGTTTGGATGATTATGAGGAAGCCCAGATCTTGAAGGCTTACCCTGATCTCAAACGTTTTGCTGAGATTGATCTTTACCGTGTCGCAGTTGATATCTCTCGTGAAAAGCCTCCTATCACTCAGGCACTTACATTCCCACCATCTCCGCAGATGATGAGAATCTCAAGCATTACATCGTTATAGGCAAGGATATCTCGCCTAGTTTTCAGGCCAAGGGCCTAGAACTTCTCAAGCGTCATAAGGCAGCCTTTGCCTGGAGCTATAAAGATCTTAAAGGTGTTTCGCCTGATCTTTGTATGCATACCATTGAGCTATTGCCTGACGCCAAGCCACGCTGCCAACATGCCTATCGGATGAATCCGAACCTGATGGACCAAGTGAAGCAAGAGCTTGACAAGCTTCTTGAGGTGGATTACATCTACCCTATCTAAAACCCTACATGGCTTTCACCATTGCTTGTTGTGCCTAAGAAGAGTGGGAAACTTCGCTTCTGTGTCAACTACAAGAAGTTGAATGATGTCACACAGAAAGATGCCTTCCCTATTCCTTTCTCTGATGAAGTTCTTGATTCAGTCGCTGGCCATGATATGTACTCATTCCTAGATGGGTTTTCAGGCTTCAATCAGGTCACCATCGCACCTGCCGACCAGCATAAGACTGCCTTTATCAGTCCTTGGGGTGCCTACGCCTATCGGCGCATGCCATTTGGCCTATGCAATGCCCCCTTCACTTTTCAGCGATTGGTCACCAACATTTTCAGGGAATACCTGACTGATTTCATGAGAGTCTTCATGGATGATTTCAGATGCAATATTCCATTAAAATGGGACTCATTCAAGTCCCAAAAGTATATTCCTTTCTTATAAATTATTTATTCTTTTTAAAGAAAGGAATATTTCTTACTTAACATTAATAACATTTAATTAACACATAACTTACATAATAAAATGTTTAACATGTCTCTGGACCACGTTAATTCTCTCGTGGTCTCTTTCATAATAAAATATTTTGTCTAGACTAGAAAGAAACCACGTCTACTCCAGTCTAGACATGTTATCTATTTTATTATGAAAGAGACCACGAGAGAATTAGCGTGAGAATTAGCGTGGTTGAGAAAAATAAAAGAAGATGGTCGCGAGAGTTTCACGTGTCTCGAACGTCTAATGTTTAATTTTTGATATCTATTTACAAATTGAAATTCTTAACTAGATACATCTTCTTCACTAATAGCTCCTTCAGCTCTCGCTACTGCTCGAATGAAGACATCGACTTCTTCTGCGATTGAATTTGATTGTCCTTGCAGTTGTCTATGTTGATGGTGGAGCATGTTGTCTATGTCTAGTTGATCTTCTGACCGCTTGCGATCCTCCAACCTTTGGTTTCGTCTTCCTCTTTTCTTTAGAACTCTTTGACGTTTGTACACCCCCCACTCCCTGAGAGGTTGCCTCCGTTCTCTTTCCTGAAATCCGAATGACATATCAGTTAAATTTAAAAAATTGAAAGGATCAACTTACCATCTTGGTTCAAAACACTTGTTGTTCCAAACTCATCTCTTTGGGCGGAACATGTGACCCCTTGTTCAATAGGGGCAGTTTCGTTATCATTAGCGACACTGTCATGTTGTTCAAAATCCAATGTATCTTGAACAAACTGAGGAGGCATTTGGTCGTTGAATGAAATTTCGTGCTTCTGGTTCTCTGTTGAGGACATAATATGGTTTTAGTTTTGTAAAAAATTATATCAAAATTGACATTTACCACGAGTTCGGTCATGATTGTCCTCTGGTGCGTCTTGAGTTATCTTTTTTGGCATGAAGAATCCCTTCCTTGGCGTTTATGTCATCTGAATCATCTTCAGAAAGATCGAGATCTTTTTTTTCCAGAAAGATCTTGAGTTCTTCCGAGAGTTGGATCAGTCGGTTGTCCTTGGCGGCTGGGAATGCAAACACGTGATATAGTTGGTTGCCCGAAACATTTAGATTTACCATCTTGAAGTTGGTTGCTCACGTTTTCTCGTGAGGGTGAGGATTCGGCCACGACTGGAAGCTGGCTGCTCGCGTTTTCTCGCGAGGGTGAGGGTTCGCCCATGACTTGAAGCTGGCTGCTCGCGTTTTCTCGCGAGGGTGAGGGTTCGCCCATGACTTGAAGCTGGCTGCTCGCGTTTTTTCGCGAGGGTGAGGGTTCCGCCACCACTTCAAGCTGGCTGCTCGCGTTTTCTTGCGAGGGTAAGGGTTTGACCACCACTTGAAATTGGCTGCTCGCGTTTTCTTGCGAGGGTAAGGGTTTGACCACCACTTGAAATTGGCTGCTTGTCACAGGAATATCCTCCTCACCTGACACATTAGTAGCATCTCAGGCCAAATAGATAAAGATATCAATTGTCAAAAAATTGCAACTTACTGTTTGTGACTTTTGAAATGGATTCATCAACTTTGTTCACCTCAGCGATGTTTTCCCCTATCTCGTCATCAGCATTGTTTTTCTCCTTGATATCTGTATCATAGAAAAAAAGAATTCAAAACGACACACAAATAATTTATTTAGAAATTTACTACACACATTCAGAGTGGACACGTTGCTTTTTAAAGATGGGTTTCGTTCTGTCCTGTCCTAGCGCTCTCTTCCGTGTGTTTGGACGCTCCTCCGACTCCAGCTCCTCCTCAGTGCCCTCTGGCTCCGACTCCAGCTCCTCGCTGCCTTCCGGCTTCGACTCCAGCTCCTCGCTGCCCTGCGGCTCCTCTCGCTCGAGCTCTTCGCTGCCCTGCAGCTCCTCTCGCTCGAGCTCCTCGCTGCCCTGCAGCTCCTCGGGCTCGAGCTCCTCGCTGCCCTGCAGCTCCTCCGGCTCGAGCTCCTCGCTGCGTTGCGGCTCCAACTCCTGCTCGCCCTGGGTGACTTCCTCCTCCGGCGGCGGGATGTTGTTGGAGGGTGGAGGGGTGGTGTTGCTGGGAAGTTGAACATCCACCGAGAGGATCAAGTTGTTGTTTGGCGGTGGATCTTGAACTGGATTGTTGAGCGGCTGACTCCTAGCAAAGATTGGACCCACTTGTTGCCGGTTTGCCGATTCAATGTTCCTCCTCATCTGTCAAATGTCTCCTTTCTCGAGGACGAGCACACCTATCTTTCCAACCTGGATCCCGGCCTACAACGCTCGCTCGCAATTGATCGCAACCCAGTACACCTGATCCTGGACGAGACTCATGAGATGGTCGAAAAGGCAAAGCCCGATGTCTCCTTTGAAAGGACCGATATCCAAAGGAGACCATCCAGTTGGGAGAGGACGCTCCTCTTCATCATCCAGCAGTGTCTTGAACTCGTCGTCCTTATCCAAGACCCTTGCCATGGAGAGATGCAGCGCCATAGCTTTGACCCGCGGGGCAGTCTTTTCATTGGAGATGACAAAGAAGGAAGGCAAGTGCTTGTTCGTCAGATACGTCTCCACTGCATCCACGACCATCTGGAAGTCGTTGATGTCGAAGAAAATCGAAATGTGACTGTCTTTGGTGAGGAGAAGAGCAGCTTGACCAAACGTCTCACCAAGTTGTTGCCGCGTCCAACCAGCGCCTCTCAAGTCCAAAATGAACAAACCAACCGGGCGTACCTCAGTCGCAAGCCTAGTACCCCACGCATCCGCCGTGTTCATAAGGTCGAAGACACGAAAGGGGGAGTCATCCTTGGCGACGTCAGTTCTCCCCCTTATCCGGCTCATCATTTGCTCGCGGAGGTAAGACTCGGGAGCAAACGTCTTGGACGGGTCCTTCATGCACTTCATGTGCATGAAATTCGTCCTCGCCCACATATCCAAGAAGTCGTCCCCCAAGTTCACGGCTTCACGGAACTCCGCTCTTTTCATCTTCTTGAACTTCTCCGGGTTGTACGCCTCCGCCAGCTTCCTATACTCATCCACAATCACCTGCCGCTCCCTGAGAGTGTTTGCGAGCTCGGTGACCAGCTATTTGTCGTGTTTGTCTGCCTCCTTTTTGCTGCAGAATACAGCGTTCCCTACAAGGATCTGCTCCCCGAGAAAACCGATATCCTCGTCCACTAGTGCGGCAAGGAACTTCATCTTGTGGAGGTTCATCGTGTAGTCTCTCTTTCGAACACCAACGCTCTTCTTCACCGGTTCAGCAGGGACTTCAGCGATGGAGGCAAGTTCCATCTTCTCATTCAGATCAAAAATCTTCTCCCAGCTCTCCCAGGCCTTCTCCTTGCAAGAGACGAGCCGGTGCACCATTCCGTGGTCGTTCCGGTTTAAGATGACGGAGAGCACTCTCTCCAGCTCCTGCAATCAGTTGAAAGTCAAATTAGCAAGGAAAAAGGAGGTATGTTTTGAGTTTACCTTCCATCTCGGCGAGTGTGGAACACCATTAGGAGATTTCTCCGGCTTCCTGAACTCCAACCAGAAAAGCTGGGCCTGTTTCATGGTGCCAGTGAAGGTTGGCTGGTAATGTTGTACATCTCGATTATTGTCGCTCTTTGACAGCTTCAAAATCTCCTCCAAGGTCAAGACGCCCTTGTTAACAAACAACACTTTCCTGATTGTGAAGAAGTCATTGATGGTTGTTGATTGCCGCTCAAGTCACGACTTGTGCTCCTTCTCAATCTCTTGCAGCGCCACCGTGGAGTGTGCTCCGGAAACAACAAACCCCTTCAATACGTAGTTCTCCTTCTTTGCCAACTCCTTGGACAGCTGGTCAAGTCTCGTGATGAAAATCGGTTTTTCCACGCTGCCAACAAATGGAATAACGTGGGCAGCCGCCGGCTCTCGTGGCATCCCCTTCATCTGCTGGACCAGGTCGTCCTTCCACGATGTCTCAAAGGCCCTGTGGTTGAGCATCTGGTTGATGACCAAGTCACTCACCCGCATCCTCCTTGTCTCTTGGCCAAAGAAGAGTCCCTTGTTCGCGATCGCGCCGGTTTCGGCTATCGCAAGCTTCTTCTCCTCCTCCTCGCTCAACTTCTTCTTCCTTGGCTTCTTCTTTCCTTTGGAAGTCCCCGCTTCCAAGTCGCCAATTTCCTCCAGGGAGTTGTCAGCCTCACTCTCAACAATCTCAGGCTCCGTCCTCTTTTGCTTCTTCTTCGGCGGACCCTTCTTCTTCGGCGGACCCTTCTTCCCTTCCAAGTCCCCGGAAGCGTCGGACTCGTTCTCGTCGGTATTGGCTGTCGCCAGATCGAGAGGATTGGTCCTCTTCGCCACCGGATGCAAACGCCGGTACTCTGCTGCAAGGTCAATTGGACGTGAGGCCCACTCCGGTTGCCACAGGTTCAACGTCTGCGATCGGCTCCTCCAGAACTTCCTTTCCTTGTGCGTTGAAAAGACATCAAGCACCTGTGCCAAATTCCAATCCTGATGTTCTACAAGTAAGCGGTCCACATCCTCCGTGTGACGATGGTTCTTGATCGCATAATAGGATGTCTTGATCTCACCTTTTTGCTCGTACGTCAAGATAATGGTTTCACCGTCCTGAAACCACCCGATCACAATGCCCCTCTCAGTGCTTTCATCACTTGACTCGTCCCACTCTTTCAGGATAATGTCAGCACTCGAGTCACAAACACTGAACCCTTTCTCCAGTCGGTCATCGATATCGACGACCAACTTGTGATCATCAGGAACCTTGCAGATCTTCCGCCCGCTTCTGATCCTTGGCTCGATGTCATTCCGTGGCCAGGCATACTCAGCTCCTGCCCGAAAGCCACCCTCTCGCATCTCGACCCTACACAACTTGAGGAGCACTTTGAATGTTCCGAGTTTCTTCTTGACACCATCTTGAAAGTACTCATGGTTTGGGTCCAACGAGATGACCCTCCTGGCAGCCGCCAATTTCCGGTTCTTGGTAAAAAGCTTGTAGCGCTGCGTTCAAATGTGGGGTTAGAAATGTGAAAAGAAATCAATGTTTGAAACAGGAAGACCATGAAACAAAAACCAGATACAAGGGGCAGGTGAACACTGAAACAAGGAGGGCCTCGGTACCTGAGGGACTCGCTAGAAATCGCGAGGCCCTCAGGCGCGAAGCCCTCATTCCCTGAGAGCCTCGCTAGAAATCGCGAGGCCCTGAGGGAATGAGGGCCTTGCTGGAAATCGCGAGGCCCTTAGGAAATAGGGAATGAGGGCCTCGCTGGAAATCGCGAGGCCCTCATTCCCTGAGGGCCTCATTCCCAGAGGGCCTCGCTGGAAATCGCGAGGCCCTCAGGCTCAGGCGCGAGGCCATCAGGGAATGAGGGCCTCGCTGGAAATCGGTTTAGGGTTTAGGGTTTAGGGTTTAGGGTTTAGGGTTTAGGGTTTCGGGTTTAGGGTTTAGGGTTTAGGTTTAGGGTTTAGGGTTTAGGCGCGTTTAGGCGTTTAGGGTCAAAGACACCCCGCAGTGCTGCAATCCGGCGAGATCGCGGCACCACTTTGTGCAATCCACATTCTCCGTGTGCCGTTGTCGAAACGGCGTGATCGAGAGCAAGTAGAGGATGCGAGGGAATGAATTTTCATTCATTCGTGAGCGAGGGAGAGGACAAGAGACAACCCGAGACCGGTTTCGTCCTTTTTGGGACTCATCAGCCGGGTGTAGTCGTCTAGTGTCTACCCTAACCCTAGCTCGGTGCCGACTCTACTTATATTTTGGCTCTGTCACGTGGCGCGAGTCCGTGTGGCGGCCATGCGAAGTGGCGTGGCAGCGTTGGCTCGCGAGGTTGCGAACGTAGCACAGCTGGTGTTGGTTACTCCACAGCAGTGGTAGTCGCGGAGAATGACTTCGGCGGATCGCCGAAGACAGTAAGCGTTCGGCCGGCGGGTGACGTACCTTTGACGCAAGATAACTTGTAAACGCAGCATGATATGATGCATGCGTTACGTCCACAATGCTTGTGTCACTCGTACATACCCGGCGACGAAAAACGTGGTCCACTTTGCAGGGAATATTCTGAGAATATTCCGTCGTTGACCGTTGACCCCGCGTTGACCGTGTGTGGACTGGGATGGTGGAGGGCCTGAGGTCACTCATACATACCCGAAGTCCAGCGGTGGTGCAGGGGAGAGCCATCCCGCGAGCTGTCGGCGTGCATCGCCGATGTCGAAGGAGCGGTACCGTTTTAACGGAATACACGCTTTTCAACGAATCGTGTGTGGAGTTCAGAGTTGAAACTCATATATTCACGATCGGAAGGAAGAGCGGAATCCAACGGTATATGCCGTTTTGACTCGGTCAACAGGGATACAGTCGGAATATTGGGGAATATTCCGTTCTGACCGTTGACTCCGCGTTGACCGGGCGTTGACTCGAAAGGGGGGTGGCCTGGAGTGACTTTGGACATACCTGAAGTCCATCGGCCAGACCCTGGGAGTCATCGGGTACGCGGAGAAAGATGCAAACATATGCTTCCGTGTCTTGCAAAGTGTGGTACAAGACGTGGCTAAGCTCGCGGAGGGAGCTTGGCCCTGACCAGGAACGAACCGAGGTTCGGGGAGCGTCTCCAGCACGTAATCACTCGGGGGAGTGTGTCTGCGGGAGCTTCATCCATCACCTGTTTAGGGTTTAGGATGTCCCCCAAGCCTAGCTGTGCACTGTGGAGTGTGTAAGGCAGCTTGAAGGCGAGGGGGGCCCGTTGACAGGCGTCGCTAGAGCGGCGCGAGCGTGCAAGGAGAGCTTGATGTCGCTGGTCGTAGGAGATGCCGGAGAAGCAGTGATGGAGGAAGGAGGTCGGGTATCCCCGGGCACGGAGGCGGTGGTAGAACCGCGTGCGCATGGCGTGGAATCCATCGGCTGTGCTCTCGCGGAGGAGGTATCTGCGGAGCTCGCTGCGGATGAATGCCACCTTCTGGTGCCGTGGGTGAACCGACGTCCAGGGGAGGTACTGGTAGGCGTTGAGGGGCTTCTGGAACGTGGACGAGTCGAGGCAGCCTGTCTCTTCAAAGCGAGGGCCTTTGAAGAAGTGGATATCGAGGATATCCAGCTCTTCGAGCGAGATCACCGAGGTGATCTTGATCGAAGGACACAGCGTGCCGTATCCTCGGAGCCATCGTTCGAGGCCTGCTCGTGTACCTGTCCAAATGCCCACTCGGTTTAGGGTTTAGGGTTTAGGGTTTAGGGTTTA